TAAAATAATCTACGGACCTGATAGATGTTATATCAGCACCTCAACTTCACAGCTACGTAGACAAACTCGTTTTGTAATTCTTCAGTCCACACGTCAGGAGGTTTCAATAATCCTCTCTGTCTCTCTCTTCCTCTCTCTCTCTTCCTCTATGTCTCTCTCTTCCTCTCTGTCTCTCTCTTTGCCTCTCTCTGTCTCTCTCTTCCTCTCTGTCTCTCTCTTCCTCTCTGTCTCTCTCTTCCTCTCTGTCTCTCTCTTTGCCTCTCATTGTAACTGTCTGCCTCTCGGTGTCTCTCGTTCTCTAAACTTTCCTAATCCTAATGTGTGTGTGTGTGTGTGTGTGTATATAAAATCATATACAGCTATGAGTATGATAGATTGTATTTCAGCCTGATGATTGCAACAACAGCAAATATACATAATATCCAACATCGATAGCACGACTCGGAGTTTCATTCAGTTGTTGCAATCATCAGGCGCAAATACAATCTATCACACGCATATATATATATATATATATATATATATATATATATATATATATATATATATATATATGCGCGTGTGTGTGTGTGCATGCATGTGTGTGTACTTATTTAACCTCCTGAGATGGGTGATGAGGATTAAGTCCCAACACATCATCACTTTTCAGTCACGTTTGGTCTTTTGAAGACATATATATATATATATATATATATATATATATATATATATATATATATATATATATATATATATATATATATAATTAAACAAACAATCCAAGTGAATAAATGCATTTAACATGCTTTAGCAGTGCTTTTCAAGGAAATCATTATTTTTCTGATTTTTCGTTTCTGTTTTCTGTCCATTCATTCTTTTTTATGTTATGTCAAATAGTTTTAATTCTTTATTTTACCAGTTGATCTTCCTTTGCCATTTCTACTTGCCTTTTTTCTCATTCATTTCCTATCTTCTGCATTTACACATTTTTCTTTATTTTCTTCGTTTTACTCGACTTCTGTTTGTCATATCCTCCTTTTTTTTCCACTCATTCTTACTTTGCTTTCATTCTTCTTCTTCTTCTTCTTCTTCTTCTTCTTCTTCTTCTTCTTCTTCTTCTTCTTCTTTTACATCCACATATTATTTATTACTTTATTTTTTTTCATCTTTCATTCATGCAATTATTTCTACTTACATGCTCTTCAGCATCTTTCTTGCTTCCTTTTTTAATTTTTTTCGGCTCTTAATTCTTGGCTACTGCATTCCATCCTTCCTTCCGTCCTTTCTTCTTTCCTTCCAAGACTTTGTTTTTCTCCTCTCTTCTCTTACTATTTTCTCCTGATCTTCTTTCTCCTTCCTTCCTTCCTTCCTTCATTCCTTCCTTCAATCGTTCATTGCTTTACGTCTGTTTTCACTGGTTTTCAGGATATCTTTTGTTTTAACGTTCGTTTGTTTGTCCCACTTTTTTCGTATGTGTATATTTTCACCTTCCTTCCTTCCTTCCTTCCTTCCTTCCCTCCTTCCTTCCTTTCTTTCTTTCCTTCCTTCCTTCCTTTCCTCCTTCCTTCCTTTCCTTCCTTCCTTCCTTCCTTCCTTCCTTCCTCCTTCCTTCCTTCCTTCCTTCCTTCCTTCCTTCCTTCCTTCCTTCCTTCCTTCCTTCCTTCCTTCCTTCCTTCCTTCCTTCCTTCCTTCCTTCCTTCCTCCCTTTCTTCCTCCCTTCCTTCCTTCCTTCCTTCCTTCCTTCCTTCCTTCCTTTCCTTCCTTCCTTCCTTCCTTCCTTCCTTTCCTTCCTTCCTTCCTTCCTTCCTTCCTTCCTTCCTTCCTTCCTTCCTTCCTTCACTCATTCACTCATTCATTCCTTCCTGTCTACATTACTCTAAGCTTCAGGGTCACTTTTGTCCGTATTTCTTTTTATCCGTTTGTTCGTTCGTTAGTTGATTACTTCCTTCATTATTTCTCATGAATCTGTTTTGTGTCATTCTCTTTCCTTCGTTCGTTTCTTTATTCTTTCGTTGGTTCTATCCTTCCTTCCCTTCTCAGCTTCTTTTTCTCATTTAGACGATCACATTCTCTTCTCTCTACCGAGCACATTTCTTCATTCGCGTTTTATTCCAATCTTTAGGATCTCCTTTTTTCACACTTTATCTTTCGTTCATTCTTTCCTTACTTAATTTCTTCCTTCCATCTGTCCTCAATTTTATTCTTTTACTTGATTTATTCTGGTCTTCATTCACATTCATTTGTTCATTCATTCCTTCGTCTGTTTTTTCCTTCCTTCCTTCCTTCCTTCCTTCATTTGTTCATTGCTTCCTTTCTTTCTTTGCTCGTTCTTTTCCTTCACTCCTGTTTATCGATTTTACTTTGGTCAGTGGTATCTCTCTTTTGACGTTCGACCATTCCTGTTTTTCCTCCCTTCCTTTCTTTGCATTTGTTTTCCTCTCTCCATTTTATCCTTTTCTTTGACCTTCTTTTATTTTTCTCTCTCTTCCTTCGCCTCTATTTTCTCTGGTCTTCTGGATTTATGTTTCTCTCTTTTTATCATTCTATACTTTCTTCTGTCATTATGTATTTCCTTTCTTCATTAATCCTCATATTACACTTGTCTTCATTTTCTTTCCTTAGTTTCTTTCTTATGTATCGATTTGAATTTCGCCGTCACTTTCCTTCCTTCATTCATTATTACTTTCTTCCTTCTTTCCTTCATTCAGTCATTCATTCATTCGTTTCTTGCTTCCACCATTCTTTTCGTTTTATTCCTTCCCTCCTTCTACTCTGCATGTCACACACTCGTTCGTCCCTACCCCAATTACTGTGATTCTTTCTCTCCCATTTCCACGCACATCCCTACCCAAGAGATAGTCGGCCGTCCGAGAACGATTGCTTTTCAATATTTTACGAAGACATTTATTTAATAATCATAGCACCGATGGGTCTTTTGTGTGGCAAAGATTTTATAGCAAAAGCAACAACAAAGTAGAGAAAGAAAAATGGCTTTTGCAACTTGCACAACAAGAACTTCGGCGGCAACAACATCGCCATCTTGTGGAAACGCGATCACTCGAAGCAGCGAATAGTTTATGTAATTAATTTTTCTAAATTGGGAAAAAGAGAGAGGTAGGCTGAACAAAAAAAAAAGGAGAAACAATATAGTCAAAATAGTTGCAACTAAAGCAAAAGAAGCTTTGTAGATTTTCATCAGTTTTCCACGATTTAACTGCTTCTAACTCGTTTCGAGATTAGCAATTATTTTCTTTTTTTTACCTTTTCGACAGTCTCCTCATTTACATTTATTTTCCTTTTCTTTTGGCTTAACATTTGTTCACTCTTTCTTTTGTTCTTTATTTTCTCGTTATTTCTTTCTTTTTTCGTTATTTTCTTATTTTTTTTATTTTGGAACTTCAAGTGTGTATGTCTTGAAATTCGTAATTTCTTTTTGTTTCCTGATCTTTTCATTTTTCTTCTCACCTGTTATATTTTCTCTTTCTTTCACCTATTCTGCTTTTGCCCCTGGTTTTGTCCTTTCTCTCTTTTGGAACTCTATTTCTGTATGTTTTATAATTTGCATTTTATTTTTGTTTCCTGCTTTTTTCAATTTTTTTTTTCATCTTTCTTATTTTCTATTTCTTTCGAACAATTTTATTTTGCCACCGCCTTTGTGATTTCTTTCTTTCTTTTGGTTAATGAATGTCAATGTGTTTGAAGATATATAATTTCATTCTTCTTTCTCTTTTATTAAATCGTGTGTGGTCATTTCTTTTTATTTCTTTTTTTCATATATGTCGTCTGTTATTTCTTTGTTCGAAAATGTAAGCCTGTGATTTTTTAAAATTCTTTGATATTTCATAGTTTTCCTCCATCTTTCTTTCTATTATTCTTTCTTTCTTTCTTTCTTTCTTTCTGTATATTGTGAGTGATTCGGGATTAGTCCTTTCTTTCTTTTCGTTAGATTTAGTTTACTTCCTATTTGCCATTATTTTCTATTACTTTCTAACAATCATAGTTTGCATCTTTCTTTTTCTGTCCACTAAGGTTTATCGGCATTTAATTTTTCATTGTTCAAATAGATCCAAGTTTTTGTGTTTCTTTCTTTTATTTCTCCGTTTCTTTATTAATTCATTTGTTTATCTTTTTGATTCTTATTTAATTTACTATGACTTTAGCCCAAACACAACACAATATCGTTTTTGTTTCGTACTTCATATGTTTTATTTTACTTTTTAATCTTTACGCCCAAAGCAAGGCAAGAAAGCCACTAAGACACAAAGAGTTACTAAGTGTGAAAGAATACAAGAAAAAGAGTAAAGATCGTGAAAAATAAAAGAAGAAGAATTAAGAAGACAGAAGATATTATTTCAGTTGAATGTTAGAAGATTAAAGTTGGCTGGAAAGAAGATTATACACAGACACATACATACACATCTCCTTTTTTCAAAATGGTTCGTTGACTTTCAATATCTTTTTCTATCATTTGTCTGTCTTTCCCACTCGTCTTCTTTCTTTCTTTCTTTCTTTCTTTCTTTCTATCTATCTATCTGATTTAGTGTCCCGGTGTGCGTTTCACCCACTGGGAGTGATGGACCCCGAGTCCTTTATAAGGTATCCGTCTCAGCAAAAGAAAACTGTGATGTAACACAGGCTTCACTGCTAAACAACATGTACCCGAGATCCTTAGCAGTCATGGTGTGTGGGTTGTGATATTGTACAATCTTGGTATGGACATTGCAGACGTCATAGTGACTACGAATAAGAAATCGGATATTTCCGGTTCCGTTTGTTATATTCACTAACATACAAATACTACGGGGGAAGCTATTAATCCATGGGTTAAATAGCAGACTGATCGGGGTCTCTAGTCGTGTTCGGTTATCAGTCGATATATCCATGTGTAGATTTTTATGAATTCTCATATTCTTTGGGAAATAGCATATCCAATATTAAAAAAAAGATTAAATTATTGTCTATACATGTAACACACTCTCTCATAGGTTGACGTATCACATAAATAAAATAATACTATTAAC